CATACTATATGGTATGTATGCTTAAATGCAGTATGCTTAAATGCATAATTTATATTTCAGCACTGCAGTCAAACCAAGTGCTACAAGATGGAGATGTCAGGGCACCCTGATGAGCAAAGACTCTCAGTGAAGGGAGTGTGCCACTAGATCAATGCTATGAACGGGGGAGGTTTGACGCCACAGCATCTCTTTGGGTCGAACAGATCCTCTGGAGTTGCTGAACAGATTAAGCAGCCATCCTTCAGGCATGCAAGAGAAGGAACATATTACCAACTAGCACATGGTACTAATAGTAGTGGTGCAGCAGTATGGAAAGTCCCTGTGTCGTCCAGACCCGTGTTCAGATCCTGATATGCCCAGAGCAAGTGGCTTAACTTTCTTGAGTCTTGAGTTGTCTCCTCACCTCTATTGTATTGAGGGAGGATCCTAATGTGATCTTATGCATCACTGTATCTAGTTATATATTCTGATAGTAAAAGACACAAAGGCTGGGTGTAGTGGGGTATACCAGTAATCCTAGCACACAAGAAGCTGGGCATCATGAGTTTGAGCTAATGAAGGCTACATAGTGAAAGCCTATCAAAGATAAAAAGAAAAAGGAAAGAAAACAATACAGAAACATTTCAAGAAGTAAATCACCGGCAAGTCCATTATCCAGAGCTAATGATCTTTTGAGTACCTGTACATAATCTTTTAGTTTTGCCTTCATAATATATACAGGGGACTGTGAGTTTAGTTCAGTGGCTGGGTGTAGTTAAGGATATTCAAGGCTCTGGGCTCTACTTGGATCACCTAAAACAAAACAGTATACACAGGTTCATAGTACATTATTGCTTCTACTCAATAAAACTTCGTGGACACATAAAAACTTAACGTAGACTTATTATTTTTTACTTATTTAATTTTTGTTTTGTTTTGTTCAAGACTGTTTCTTTGTGTAGCCCTGACTGTCCTGGAACTCACTTTGTAGACCAGACCTGCCTCGAACTCACAGAGATCCACCTGCCTCTGCCCCCTGAGTGCTGAGATTAAAGGCATGCACCCCCACCACTAGACTGACTTATTTTTTTTTTTTTTTTTTTTTCGAGACAGGGTTTCTCTGTGTAGCTTTGCGCCTTTCCTGGAACTCACTTGGTAGTCCAGGCTGGCCTCGAACTCACAGAGATCCGCCTGGCTCTGCCTCCCGAGTGCTGGGATTAAAGGCGTGCGCCACCACCGCCCGGCCTAGACTGACTTATTTTTAATAGACACCTAACACCTGATTGTATTGCGCCAGGATTTAACAACCTTGCTGGTCACTGAAGGGGTTACCAGTTTTTAAGCTATTTTATGCAATGCTGTATTAGCAACATTGGACACAGATTACTGTTCACTTATTTACTTATTTATTTATTTATTCCCTGGGGCTAATCCTCGGTATACATCACAGATATCTGTTAGCTGCATCTGTGTTCAAATCCCATTCGCTCAAAACAAGTATGATTCTGTTATAGATTGCCAAACTGCTTCCTCCACAAACAACTATATAAGCTTAGGCACCCAGTAGTAATTTATGGTCATCTTCCTATACCCTTGGTAAAACCAATTTCTGCCAATAATTTTAACCCTTGCCAGTTTGACCTATCACCATTTGAGATATTTCTATTAACCTTTAAGAATTATTAAGGCAAGCGTGCTGGTGCACGCCTTTGATCCCAGCACTCAGGAGGCAGAGACGGATAGGTCTCTGTGTGTTCGAGGCCAGTCTGGTGAACACAGTCATTGAGAGGCCAGCCAGGGCTGCATAGTAACCCCATCTCAACAGAACAAGAGCTCTTTGCTAAGACTGTTTGCTGTTGTTAGGCTGGTGAGATTGCTCTGTGGGTAGTGTTGCCAAGTTTGATGACCTGAGCTTGAGCCCCAGAACTTACATAGTAGAAGGGGAAGCAAGTTGACCTCTGACCTCCACACATGTGCCGTGGTGTGTGTGCTTCCCCTCATGCACATACACAAATAAATATGGTGACTCCTTAATTTCTAGAAAAGATTTTAAAAATTCAAAAAGCAAAAACCAGTCTCATATAGTCCGGGATGACTTCAAACTATGTGCCTCAAACGGATACTCTCGCTTCCACTTCCCAAGTATTAGGATTCTAGGTGTGTGACACTATGCCTTGATATATTTTTTTTATTTATTCATGTATTTTATGTATATTGGCTCTTTATCTGCATGTACATCTGCACACCAGAAGAAGGCATCAGACAGTTGTGAGCTGCCATGTGGGTGCTGGGAATTGAACTCAGGACCTTCGGAAGAGCAGTGAATGCTCTTAACCACTGAGCCATCTCTCCAACCCCATGCCTCGCTACTAAGAATTTTAAATTCATCACATGGGTAGGAGATATTTCCCCCCCTTTATCATCTTTACCTTCATGTTGTTGCTGCATAGGACTCAATTTAGGTAGTCAAATCAACTGAGTTACTTGATAGAGCTCTTTTGAACTTTCATATTTAGAAACATTTCAGATCCAGAATAGGAAAGATTTTTTTCTTCCAATACTTTCATTATCACATGTAAATAAAAATATAAGTTGTATGCTGGAATGTATTTAGATTTAATAAAGGTGATGGGATCCCAGCTTGTTTGCTCTTGCTGACATCTACCTTTTCTCCAGTTTATTTTTAAAGGTTTGTTTCTGTGCTATGGGTGTGTGGCACGTTGTGTGGGGGTACTCATGGAGGCCCAAAGAGGGCTTTGGGTCCCCTGGGGCTGGAGTTAAAGGTGGTTGTGGGCTGCCGTAGGTGCTGAGAATGTAATTGCTCTGCAAGAGCAATGGGTGCTCTTAACCACGGAGCCTGTCTTTCGCTCCTCCTCAATATACCACTTTTCATCACGCACTACAATTCCTTACACACCTGGCCCTCTTATCTGTACTGTTTGGTACAATAGTTATGTCTGCCCTTTGTTGAAATCGCCCCATTGTTGGAGCTGCCTGGCATATTTTAATATCTGGTTGAACAAACCAGATGACTGACCGCGAGCCTTTTCTTGGCAGTAGAACAGGAACGGCTGAGTTCCTGGAGCTCGACGCCTGACCTTTGGGCCCTTGGGCTGGTTTGTTTTCTCTCTGACTCTGTGCTCCCTAATCTATTTGTTAATAATCATGGTCCTTAAACCTCACAGTGGGTTTGTTTGGTTGTTTTGTTTAGTTATTGTTGTTTGGTTTGTGGAGTTCTCTGCTGGGGCCTGGCACATGGTAAGTGGCCAGTAAATGTTAGATCTTTTTGGTATGAAAATGATGCATCTATTTTCCCAGTTGAATTTTAGGGTCATGTTGGCAGTAAAACTGCATTGGATCTTCACTGGACGGCATTTACTTGGCAGACAAATTTTGGGATATCATTACTAGAGGATTTTCCATTTGAAGGCGAGTGCCAATCTCCACCTACTCAAGACTATACTCCTTGGTAGAGTTTTTATGTTTTTTTTCTTTCCCTCTTTTGAATAGGGTCTCATGTAGCCCAGGCTGTTCTTCCACTTTCTCTGTAGGCTCGGGTGTCCTTGAACTTCTGTTAACTGACTTTTTGACCATAAACTTCTGATCCTCCTCCTTTCATCTAAGTGCAGAAATGACAGGCTTGTGCCGCTATGTCCAGTTATTCATCGCTGGGGATCAAACCCAGGGCTTCCTTTGAACTAGGCAACTACCAACTGAAGTACATTGTGAAAGAGCTGTGTCTCCCATTATCTTCTGAAGGAATTATTAGTACATAAAAAGTGGTTACTGCCGGGTGGTGGTGGTACACGCCTTTAATCCCAGCACTCAGGAGGCAGAGGCAGGAAGATCTCTGTGAGTTTGAGGCCAGCCTGGTCTACAGAGCAAGTTCCAAAGCTACATAGAGAAATCCTGTCTCGAAAAAGAAAAAAGGTTTCTTTTAATTTGGGTAAAATGACCAGGCTGGCCTTGAACTTGAGATTGTCTTGCCTTTTGCTTCCCAAGTAGCTGGGATTATAGGAATGCACTACTTCTGGTTTGGAAATTAATTTTAAATGTTTATTCTGCCTCCAAAGTAGCTATAATTGCTAAATTATGAGATAATTCCTCTCCAACTCATATTAGCCACAAGACATTTCTCAACTCCAGCAGCAGGGCAGGTTTCTGTAAACTAATGCTACATCAGCTTGCCTTCACTTGTCACTGCAGGGATTGTGTCTAAGTGGGCTGCAAGTCCCCAGGGTTCAGCACCCAGCTCCCATCCTCGCAGGAAGCTACCAGTGCCAGTGAAGTAAGTGGTCCATGTTGTTCTGCTGTTTCTTGGGATAGGGGAGCCCCTTGCTAGGAGGACAAGGAAAGGACTGAGCCAGAAGTTTCTGGCTTTATCAGGCTGACAGTCTCATTTGCAGCAGACAGTGACATCATAATCAATGTTAAGAGTAAACTGGGTTTTCCTAATTATATTTTGAATGGAGGCTTTAGAGAACACACAACACAGGGAAAATTGAGCTGGAAAAATATTCCAGGAGCCACAGTGGATAACTCTGTAACTTAATCTTGCTTTTTCTTCGGCACTGCAGACCACATTCAGCACCCAGGTCTGGCTCAGTGATCATTCAGGAGAGGCTGCTGTCAGGTCCTGTGCTGTGGGCTGGGGAAGAGTTGGTGTCTGAGCTCCTGGGGATCCGTAGCTGGCACAGGAGGTAGTTTCTTCCCCTTTGCTTGAGCTGCACGTGCAGCTCAGGGGTAGAGTATTTGCCTTTAGTTTGATTCCCAGCACCACACAGACACTCCAGCTACACTTCTCCAACTAGATTGCTGGCCCTGCTCCAACATTTGCACTTTCACACACACATTGAAGCCACTCCATCATACTCATGTCCTTGTTCCTGCAATTTCCAAGTCACTCTTTTCTTGGAGTGTTCAAGACCCAGATAATATATCTGCTCCTCATGAAGGTCCCCAGTGTTTGTTGCTACCTCCTTTTTGTTGTGCTCTAAAGAAATATATTTTTGTTTTAAGATAGGGTTTCTTGTAGCACGTACCCAAGAATGACCCTGAATTTACCCCGCCTCCATGTCCCAAGTGCTGGGCTTATAGGTCCGTGCTACCACAGCTGGTTTTGTGTGATAGTTTTACTTTGTAGCTAAGGATGGTCTCAAACTCATGGTAATCTTCCTACCTCAGCCACCGAAGTGCTAGGATTATACATGTGCCAGCATGTGCAGACTTACAGTTTCCATCTATTAAGATCCCATTAGAGATCCCGTTATCTCAAGGATAACAACTTTATTTTCTTGTCTGTGTGAGTCCATCAGAAGGATTACAATCAAAATGGGGCCAGAGAAATGTAGACTATATGATTAGAGTGGCAGGGCATGGCAGTGCACACCTTTAATCACAGCACTCTGGAAGCAGGCAGATTTCATTGAGTTCAGGACTACCTGGTCTTTAGAGCAAGTTCCAGGGCAGTCAGGGCTGCACAGTGAGATCCTGTTTCAACAACAAGGAATATCAAAGTGGCAGAGAGGAGGAAGGAACAGGTACAGATTACTCAGCTGAGGGCAGTGGTTTAGACCTTACAGCTCCATGGAAGCAGAGCAGGAAGGTGGACAAACTGGGTTAGTCCTGGCTCAGGATTGAATCTAGGAAGAGAGTCAAGTGGGATATTTATTGTTGCAGCACTAAGGATCAAAGCCAGGGCCTTGTACAGGCAAATGCAAGTAAATGCTCTGCCTCCATGAGATATTCCTAGACCTGGACATTGCTTTTCCTTCCCCGAATTCTAAGATAAAACACAGCACCACGGCTGTGGCTACTGCTGTTATCCACCAGAGCTCCGGGGTGGGGGGGCGGGGGCTGGGAACACCCTGGACTCTGTTACAGAATTTTGTGTAAGTATTTTTGTCAAGAGGGCAGTCACAGCAACAACCACCCAGAAGGGAGGCACTTTCATTATTAGCTATCAGCTGATATGTAACAAATTACTTCAATACTTAAATGACATTGAAAGCAATCCATTCTCTCCCACATGACGTTAATTCATTATCTCTTGATTCCGTGGGCTTGAGATCCATCTTATTTGGGTGATTCTGCTCTGGGCCTCACGGGTTTGTAGTTAGCATTGAATGGCTGGCCAAGACTGAAGTCATTTGAAAACTGTCCTGAGGGGGAGGGGGCTGGAGAGATGGCTCAGCTGTTAAGAGCACTGACTACTCTTCTAGATGACCTGGGTTCAATTCCCAGCACCCACATGGCAGCTCACAACTGTCTGTAACTTCAGTTCCAGGGGACCAGACACCCATGGCAAAATACCAGTGCACATAAGACACCCATGGCAAAACACCAGAGGACATAAAATTAAATAAAAAAAGAAAACTGTCCTGGGTAATTGTCTGTAGCTCTAAGGCTGTTTGAGTGCTCTTGTGACATGGTGGCTGGCTTCCCTGAATGTGCAATCCCACAGGACGAGGCAGAGCTGTGATGATGTTTATCTAGTCCTAAGAGCCACAGTGATCATACCTGGAATCCCAGAAGTTGGAGGCTAAAGCAGGCCACTGCTGAGGCCAGCCTGGGCTACCGAGTGGGGTCCTACCTTCAAAAAGCAAAATATTAGGCATGGTGGCACACGCCTTTAATCCCAGCACTCAGGAGGCAGAGGCAGGCAGATCTCTGAGTTCCAGGCCAGCCTGCTCTACAGAGCGAGATCCAGGGCAGGCACCAAAACTACACAGAGAAATCCTGTCTCGAAACCCCCCCCCCCAAAAAAAAAATAAAAACAAAAAACCAAAAAAAATTTAAATTAATGTTTTGTGGAGAAAAAGTAATGGTAAACTTCCCACTCTTATAAAATCTAGAGATTACTACTGTAAACATTTTGGTAATTTAATTACCTATTCTAGAATCTTGGGAGACTGAACAGTAGAATTTAAATGATGGTGAATGGCAGTTATGAGTTAAGTCATCCATCATGTGGGCACATTTGGCAACTCAATGAGAATGGGGATGCCATGAAGTCTCTACTTACCACTTGTAGAGACCTGTTTGGGAAAAACCTTCTTACTTCCCTCACCCCACCCCAATATAAGCAGGTTCCAAAAGCTGTTCTGAGAGCATTCAATAGTGGATCATTCCTCAGAGACTTTTTACAACAAAACAATCACAGATTGGCTCATACACCAACAGTTTAGCTGCCTACCACATGCCAAAGACCATGGCTGGCATTGAGGGTACAGGAAACAAATCCAAGCAGACACCAGCATGAGTAGTTACCAAACAAAAGGGAAATGCAATGTGTGAAGGGAGGGAAGGCTCCACATTAGCTGATCATCAGCAATGCTGCTGCTGAACAACTGGGATCTCATTTATTCTTTTGAGATGGGGTCTCCCTGTGTTATCCAGGTTGGTCTCAACCTTTTGGGTTCAAGTGATCCCCCTGTCTCAGCCTCTTTAAGTAGGCATGTGCCACTCTGTCCAGATCACCCTTTGATTTTGTCCTGCACCCTGTTGTCCAATGACAAATGCTGGGTTGATGAGGTTTCATAACTTGTCCAAGGGCACACAAGATGCAGTTTCAAACCCAGGCCCCACTGGAGTCCAGAACCAATGTGTTTTTTCAGTTTTTAAAAAAAACTTTATGTGGCCGGGCAGTGGTGGCGCACGCCTTTAATCCCAGCACTCGGGAGGCAGAGCCAGGCGGATCTCTGTGAGTTCGAGGCCAGCCTGGGCTACCAAGTGAGTCCGAGGAAAGGCGCAAAGCTACACAGAGAAACCCTGTCTCAAAAAACCAAAACAAACAAACAAACAAACAAAAACTTTGTGTATGGGTGTTCTGCTAGCATATACACATATATACATACATACATATATGTATATATATACACATGTGTGTATATATATATGTGTGTGTGTAAATATATATATATATATATATCTGTACATTGCATGTGTGAGATAGACAGTTGTGAACTACCATGTGGGTGCTAGGAATTGAACCCAGGTCCTCTATAAGAGCACTTTGTGCTCTTAACCACTGAGCTATCTCTCCAGCCCCAGAACTAGTGTTAATATATCACACTGAGGCTCAGGGATGTTATGTCCTTTTGTGTATCTCTGGTGTTTGTTGCTTGTATTATTTGTGTGCTTTGTCCATAAATGAAAAACAATGACTCATCCCCAAACTGGGCAGGGTTAAATAGCAGTTCTGTTTATTTTACTCAGCCCATTGCACCTGTGTTAACTTTCCAAGGTAACCTGTAATAAAAGCACTGTGATTAAAAACAACATAAAAATACACTAAAAAAGAACATGTATGTGTTTGCTGCTTCTGGCAAGAAGACACGTTGACTCTTGTTAACTGAAAAAACAAAACAAAAAAAGCTTAAGAATTAATAACCAAAAGTTAACTTTCCAACACTTCCCTTTTTTTTTTTTTAAAGAGTGAGTCTCATTGTATATCCTAAATTGGCTTCAAACTCATTATAGCCCAGACTGGCTTTGAACTCAAAATCCCCCTGCTTTCATCTCCCAAGTGATTCAATTAGACATGAGCTACCTCACCCATTTCCAACAGTCCCCTGGACATACTACGTCTCTTCATGCTTAATGATGGCACTATCAGTTTGATTCTGCAAGGGTAGAGATCTTGAAATACTTACATGTGGATTTTTCTACAGCCTGGCCCATTTGCAAGAACTAGGCAGTGCTTGCCGAGATAAACTAAAGGGGCTGCCACACTGCCCGCATTAGCCTTTGCTGGCTGTAAGAAATTAGCACAGACATAGTAGTTTGAAACACACACTTGTAAATGTCCCATACTTCTCTGGGCCAGAGTCCAAACACTGAGGGGGTTCCAGAAGTTCCAGGGGTTTCCTGCTTCAATCTGAGGCGGAAGTCAAGGTGCCTGTTTTCCTTTCTGAAGACTCGTTTCTGAGCTCATCCACACTGTCAGTTCAGCTCAATGGATTGAAGGACTACGGTCCCTAATTCCTTGCTGCTGTTGGCAGGCTTTAGTCCAGAGGCTGCTTCCATTCCTTTGCTTTCTGTCACTTCAAAGCCAGCACCAGTGAGCTGTGTTGCTTCCTATCTCCAAGACACCCACGCTTTCAAGGACCCATGGAATTAGTGACCCACTCAGACAGTCCAGGATGATCTTCCTAAGGGCCTAAACTTGATCTGCAAAGCTCTTTTTCCCATTGAATGGGGTAAGTTCTGAGTGCGGTGGTGTACATGGATGAAAGATTGGATACTTTTGAGTAGGAACTGCTTTCCACAGCACCCATACTCTACATGAACATTTTAGTTAGATCTGGTAGCACAGGCCTGTAATCTCAGCTATTCCGGGGAGGTTGAGGCCTTTGTGATTTAATAAGAACCTGAAAATAAAAGGTAAAAAGGGCTTGGAAGGCAGTGTAGTGGTATATCATCTAACATGTATGAAGTCCTGAGCTCAATTCCTAACACAGAAAAACACAAAACAGGCATTTTAGAGTGATTCTTCCCTATTTAATCCCTCCAAATGTATGTGTTGGAGATAGGAGGGATTCAAAACATTTGAAATAAGTTACAATATCCTCAGACACAACTCTTTCAGCTGCAGAGTGAAAAAAATAAAGGACTGTAAACAACTAAAAGCCAGGCATAGTGGGACATGTATTTTAATCCTTCATGTATTAATGGGAGGCAGAGACAAGAGAATAGCAGCTTGTTTGAGGCCAGCCTGTTTATATTGTGAGATTTTGTTTGAAAATAACAAAATAAAGGATGCTGGGATATAGCTCAGTGGTTGTGTGAGGTTCTGGGTTCAATCTTTAGCACTAACCACATCCCCCAACAAAATCCTAATATATACCTTTGCACGTGGCCAATCTGATCTACACAGTGAGTTCCAGGCCAGTCAGGGCTACATAGTGAGATCTTGTCTCAAAACAAAACCTAAAATGTCAAATGTAGCACGAATCCTAATTGCTCTTAATAATAAAAACCTGGAGTCTGATATCAGGGTGAAAACAGAAAGATCAGAGAAGCAGAGCAGCCAGCTACTAGAGAGACTTTTTTTCATTTTTATTTATTATTTTTCTATTATCAACTTGATACAATGTAAATTCTTATCCTAATAGTGAAATGTTTCATTGAGGCTTGCCCAGTAATTGAGTAAAACCAAAACTTATTATAAGTCACAGTCATCCTAGGGTCCCCCCTGCTATGTAGCCTCCCTGGTTCTGTGGGTTGCAGCCTGATTGTTCTTTGCTTTATATCTAGTATCCACTTATGAGTGAGTACATACCATGTTTGTCCTTCTGGGTTTGGGTTACCTCACTCAGGATGGTATTTTCTAGTTCCATCCATTTGCCTTCGAATTTCATGCTGCTAGAGAGACTTTTTACCTCAGACTGAAAGGGAGTTGAGCTCCTGTCTCCTCCCACCTTATATTCCTCTCTCCCCAGCCATATCACTTCCTGTCTCCACTCCTTAGTGCTAGGATTAAAGGCCTGAGATCCCAGGTACTGGGATCACAGCTGTGTGTCACCACTGCCTGGCTCTGTTTCTCTTTTAGACTGGATCAATATTGTGTAGCCCAGGTCCCCTGGTCTTCCTGCTTCCTCTTCCCAAGTGCTGGGATTAAGGGTGTGTACCACCACTGCCTGGCCTCTAGTGGCTAGCTCCACACTCTGATCTCCAGGCAAGGTTTATCTGTTAAAGCAAAAACAAAATATCACATCCCCCCCCTTTTTTTGTCTAAAATAAAAAACATTTATAACTAATATAAGAGAAACTATAATACAATAAGTACAATAACTATAATACAATATATACAGGCCATAAATACAATGTCTAGTCCATTAACATTTGACAAATTCAGAGAAAATACTCCATTATTTGTCCTATTTTGGTGAATCCAAAAGGTTGTACCTAATTCATTTTACATTCTAACTTGCATTACTAAAACTATCTTTTAATGTCTCTCAACTTTATACACTTACACTTCTGTAGTGAACTTCTTTTATGAATCTGGTAAGAAGGAACACTAAAGCACAAAGAAAATAGCACCACAGTAAAAAAAAAAAAATTAGAAGTTATTCCTCAACTTCCTGGTAGGATGAAATCAAGTAGGGGGATGTAAAAATGTGTCTAAATTTCACCTTCTACAGTCTATTCATTGTAGATTTTTTGCTTAGTGGGTTTGATCCTAGGGTGACAAGAATTAAGGATTGTTGAGCCCCTTAGGTGGTAGGGGTCGGACTGCTCTGTTTGCTTTATCTCAGCACTGGCTGCCTGCATGCTAACACCAGAGAGTATAGTGCATTTCTTCACCCACAGAAACCTTTTAGAAACTGTAAAACATGGCTTTTACAGTTTTTAAAACAGGCTATTAATCCAGTTCAAAACTGTTTCTGAACATTGATTCAACAAATGCACAGAGAAATATACCCTTTGTTCTGGGTGCTCCAAACCTCAACCCATTTAACACCTGCAATCAAGGCTCTGAGAGGCTCCATTGCTCAATGTGAGTGTGTAATAGCTATTATTTATTCTATGCCAGAAGCCAGATTACAGGGGCCTAATATCAGGATCCTTCACATTCTCGGATCTTCTAGATATTTCATGCTAATTTGGACCCCATACCATCAATTTTGTGGGATACTATGCTAACATAGATCAAATTGAGGCTCAGAGGGGTTAAGAGGAGTCAGGTAGTGACAGCTAGATTTTTTTTTTGTGTGTGTGTGTGTGTGAGACAGAGTTTCTCTGTGAAACATTCCTGGCTGTCCTGGAACTCGATTTGTGGACCAGGCTGGCCTCGAATTCACTGAGATCTGACTGCCCCTGCCTCCCAAGGACTGGGATTAAAGGCGTTCGCCACCACCGCTGGGTTTGACAGCTAGGATTCTAAATCTAAATTTGGTTGACACTAGGATTTGACCTCTCTCCGGTGTATTTCCTCTAAAATAACACTCAGGAGCATTTTGATCTACATGGCCCTTAAGTCTTTACTACCAGATTACCAAATTCACCTGACAGCAATTCTGCTGTAGACCGCAGGTGCACCCTCGGCAAATACATAACGGTACGAAAGTACAAGAGGAAATGGGTAACCATCTAGATCAGTCAATCGAGAAATAACCGTTTTGCCGATATGAGTGTCTCTTTGCTAATTACTATGCGCCAGTTGAGTCATTTAAGGGTGGACCAAAAGGGAAAGTCCTGCTTCTTGCCACCCACTAGAAGGCAGTTGAGAACTGTTTATGCAGGGGGAGGCCCAAAGTGGAAGCAGAGTAGTGGATTACTAATTCCGGATCCTCACCCTCACTGGACCCGCCCCTAGTACCCAAAAAGCGCGGAACGGGTTAAACTCGGCCAGGGGGAATCCAGCCACCGCCCCTTCCCAGCAACACCTCCCAGAAACCCTCAGGGCTCTGCTAGTTCCCGAACCTCGCGAGACCCCGCCCCATCCCTTCAAGACCGACTTCCCGCCCCCTTCTTTACCGAGCTCGGAGCACAGCGGGGTACGGAAGAGAGTGGGCGGAAAACACGGTACCGGAGCACGACGGGAAATGTGGTCCAAGCACTTCAGGCAGCCATTTTCTTCCGGAGTGGGGGAGGCCGTGGAGCTAGTAAGGACTACAAATCCCAGCTACCCTTTCGGTTTGTTTTTGTTCAAAAAAAAAAAAAAAAAACCCCACACTCCCCCTCCTCACTCTTCTCTCTCACACACACGCGGACACACATACACACACACACACACACCCCCACGGCAGACACGCACGGATCAGAGCGTCGAAGGGAAAGCTGCGTCTCGCCATCCCGGCCCGCCACTAGTCCGGTCTCGGTTTCTCAGCAGCGCGGGAAAGCGGAGGCCCGAGCCGTGACCTCTGACCCCGTGGTTATGCGGAGCCGCCGCATTCCTTAGCCATCGCGGGGCTGCCGCCGCCGCCGCCGCCGCCGCCGCTGCCACCGTGGGCGACTGACGCAGCGCGGGCGCGTGGAGCCGCCGCCCCTCCCCCACCGCCGCCCTCGCGCCGGGTCTCGCGCCCGTCGGTCCCGGTGCGCCCGCCCTCTCCGGCCGCACCCGAGCTCTCCCACGCGCCGCCGCCACGCGACCCCCGCCGCCGCCGCCGCCTCCACCCCAGCCCCGCGCCGCCACCGCCCCAACCCGCCCCGCCCGGAGGTCCCGCGTGGAGCTGCCGCCGCCGCCGCCGCCGCCGCCGCGGAGGAGGAGGATGAAGGACAAACAGAAGAGGAAGAAGGAGCGCACGTGGGCCGAGGCCGCGCGCCTGGTGAGCCGAGCTGCCCGGGGGGCCGCGGCGGGGGGTCTAGGGGGTGGGCTCCCGCGCCGTTCCCGGGGCGGGGGAGGGGCGAGGCCCTGCCCACCGCAGCAGGGGGCGGGGCCGCCCGGGTGTGGAGCGCTGGAGGTCCCCGGCCGGGGTGGGCTGTGGCGCCTTTTTCTTCCTCCCCCACCCCCCACCCCGCCCGCCCCGAATTCCTTCGGAGGGGCGAGCTGGCAAGCGTCTCCTCCCCTTCGAGCGCCTAGGCTTCGGTCTCCCCTCCCCCCACGTTGGCGGCGGCAGGGGGTCCCCGGGAAGCGCCGTTTATTCACGTGCCGGAGTTAGGTTTCCGGGAAAGGTCGGAAGTGCTTCCCTCACTACTTCGTGGGCCATGGGGTGGGTCACTGGACACCGCGGGGGTGGGAAAGCGCCCCTGGTTTCAAGGACGTGAGAAGCATTTAGAGCGTTGGCAATTTAAACCAGGTGTGTGTCGGGAAGCAATTGCTGAGGACCAATCTGATCCCTGAGCCATGGTTCTCAAACTTGAGTGCCCAGCGGGAATATACCTGGGGACTTTGTTTAAAAAAGGTGCTCTGGGACTCATTTTAAACACACTGAACCCGAGATTCTGCTTAGAAACATTACTTTAGCCAACTGCTTAAGGGATTACTATGCAGGTGGCCCGTGGACATTCAAATCACACTGAACCGCTGTGACTGCATGCACTAGAGGTAGGCATTTTGCAGAGGAACTGAATACACTTTGCAAAGAATGTATGTCTGTTCATGCAGAGGCTCCTGTTCAGAGGGTTGAGCGAGACACACATACAAAAAAGTAAATTGATGGCTTGAGCTTCAGCTAGCTGCCTGCCCAGAGGGTTTGTGAACTTGTGAGACCACTTCCTTTTGGAATTAAAATACAACGCTGAAAGACTTGGGGCACGTTCTTATAAAATATTGCCGATGACAATCCTAATAGGTTATACTTCTCTCGGAGATGTCACTTCCTTGGGCGCCATAGTGCAAGGTTATGGTGCATCCTACTTGTCTGTTGACGCCCTGTGTTTTATATGTAATTGCTATCATTCAGTTTGAATGGTGGAGTGCATGCAGCTCAGCTTTCTTACTGTTCCTTTTACTGAAAAGTGAGTTCTACCTTAAAAGTGTTGGCGGTTGATAAAAATCTAGAGTGCACCTTTGTCTTTCTTGGACTCATGAAAGCTAGTTATTGATTTAACCAGGCTGTTTGAGCTTGCAGAGAATTTCCACTGGTGTTCCTGATCATCTACTCTTGTTACCCTGGGAACAGAAACGGGGATTGTTTGTATGAAGGTTGTAGTTCGGTTTGTTTTTTTGTCTGGCCTATAAAAATTGAAACTCCTTGGTGGTGGTGTCCATGTTGTGTCATGTCCTGTCGTCGTCCCCCCCCCCCCCCCCCCCCCCCCCCGTCCCCCCAATTATTCAATCAGAACTAGAATATTTGGCTAGTTTTTTCGATCTTGGAACTTGAGATTTCTTCATCGATGCTTCACCTGGTGACAAATTTAGGCCTGCAGGAGCCTAGGAAATGAAGCGTGTTTTATTTTACCATGGAGGTTGTTGAGTCTTGACTGTTGATTGAAATTCTGAGTTTCTGTGTGCAGGTGTTTATGACTCTGGGCACCCAAAGAAAATTTGCCTGCCAGAATCCCACTTGTTAGAGGTAGGGGAAAGTACCTTCAAATCCCGTGTTATTTATGTCCTGACAATTCTAAAAATCTTCTTGTCTCAAAGCTCTTTTGGCTCTTATTACTTGAAAGGCTCTAGCAATTTGGAATCGGCTGTTATTTTAAGCCTCTTTAAGTTCTTAAATTTACTGTGGTTTGAATTCCAAGGTTAAGGTTGCTATTTCTATTTTATCATTGGCTCACCTTCAAACTCAGTTATCTTAAGTAAGTTATTTCTCTTTTTCTTCTTTGGCTCTTCAGTTAAAAATAGTAATCTGAACAGGAATTTCTTTGTAGTGTAGTTGTACATTTGAAAGAGGACTTGTGGGAATGTGGTGTGCAATTTTGCATATCTTTTATGTGGCTTGTGTTTTAGAATTTTCTGTGTCTTTGTGGGGGTGGGAGGTTGACTTGAGTCTTCTTCCCATTTTAAAAAGTCCTGTCACACTGAGTGATGGGGAGTTTATTAGTTTTTCCTGTGCAGAGAGATACTGGCAAGCAGAGACAATGGCAGGGCAGTTCATTTTGTAACAGGATTATTCTTAACTACTTTTGAACAGTTGAATTTAGAGTGTGTGTGGTGACCACATGCGTTCGTTTGTCAGGTGGAGGTTTCTAATTGCTACTGACTGGCTCAGATTGGCAAGAAGATGATAATGCTGTTTTGGTGTAGGAAAGCTGAGAATTCCAGTAGAGTAGCATGCCCCTGCAGATGGGTTTTTTTGAAGTTGTCACTTTTAAGAAGTGGACATTTTTCTCTCAGATGGCCTTATGGTGTGGTGGTATGGTTTCTAGCTGTCTGAAGTAGAGGAGGGGGATTAATTTGCCAGCTTGTTACGAACAATTTGGGAGAAACAGCCAAGGGGATTTCCTTTTAAATTGTGTACAACTCTTAAATAGATTCCTGTCTTGCTTTTATTCATGGCTGACCATTCTTACATCAAACATTTTTTTTTTCCTTTTAACTAGCAGAGATACTTTTTTCTTTCCTTCAAAAAATGTGCAGTCTATAGAGAAAGACTGGGAATAGAACACTGCTGGATTGTTCCGGAAGCTAGTGTTATATGCAATTTTAATGAAAATGAATACTTTATCTTTAGATGTAACTTCTCTGTAGAATTTTCGTTCTTCTGTTTTAAGATTCTCAAGCTCTTCCTGGCTACTATTTGAATAATTGGTAGATATTTTTTTCAGAGTCATGCTTCTCTAAAAAATGTTTGTCGGAAGATTTGCTAGCTCAGCTAGTATCAGAGAGATGGTATCTTGTGACAGTGAACATTAGTAGCATGTCCTAAGGTTTACTGTAGGTTTAAGTCAGCCTTCCCAGGTGGCACTTGGTAATCTTAGACTATGAAGAGGAAGAACTTACAGTCTGGGGGTGGGTCAAATGCATGAACAGAACTACAGGTATACGTGGTACTGGAAATGCACAGATTTAAAGGTTATATTGGTTTTTGCTTCTTGTTTAGGAATAAATATGATTAGTTCCTCACTAAGTGTCCAGGCTTGGGAGATAATTACTTGTACTGTGGAACAGTGGGAATACCATAAAAGAGATTGGAGTCTGCCTGGCATAGATCAGGGACTGCTTCCAGAAGGAAGGTACTTTCTTTTCTTTTTTTCTTTTTTTTTGGTTTTTCGAGACAGGGTTTCTCTGTGTAGTTTTGGTGCCTGTCCTGGATCTCGCTCTGTAGACCAGGCTGGCCTCGAACTCACAGAGATCCGCCTGACTCTGTCTCCCGAGTGCTGGGATTAAAGGCGTGCGCAGCCACCGCCTAGCCAGGAAGGTACTTTGTAAGCTGAGTCTTGAGGGGTTATATCGGAATGTAGGGAGGCCTATCCCAGAGGAGGCCATACGTACAGGAGTTGATGAAAAAAGAATGGCTGAGGGAGGGGAGAAAAAATACATGGGTATGAATATATTTGCAAAGTGTGCAACTGGGTGGAACAAAGAGTAATTGCTGGGACAGAAGCGTGCAGTGTCAGTGAGGTAGTCTTTTGGGGAGACAGACAGGTGATTGGGAGGCCTTGTATGCCCAGCCTATGAGCACCTACAAGTCCCTGCTTATGTTCTCTCTAATCTGAAAGTTACCCTGAGAGGAAGAGCTCTAAATACTTGAAGAGTGAGAGAGGACCTTTGGCTCAGATTGGTAGGTTCTTGTTTCAGGTTAGAGACTAGAATTTAAATCTTGGCTTGTTTGATTCTAAAGCCTGTGCTTTAGTGGGGCATAGGGTGGGCTCTGGAAACTTAACCCTCTGCTGCATGGGGAGTGACAGTCAGAGTCGCTGAGGATGATTTTGAAATAGAAACATGATAAACGTAGAATCTGGATCCCTAGAATTGGGCCTGGCACAAAGCAGGTGTTCCCTGTGGTTTTAAATGAGGGATAACCACAAATAGGGGTGGGTTTTAGGAAAACGGCCCCAGGGCCTTACTGTGTATTAAAGGGTATTATGGAAGAGGCTGTTAAGTTGGGTCATTGGCTGTGGCAGTGAACCAGGTGGATGAGAGAGAAGGATGCCACGTGTGTGTTGCTGAATTAGGTGGTTAGAAAGGTTTTGAGTGCCAACCAAGGTAAGGAGTGTAGGGAGAAAGCATAGGGCTGAGAGGAGAAAAACTACAGTTGCCGAGATGAATTAGAGTAGCCCACATTAAGAATGGACAGCTAGACTGACGTGTCAGACAGAGCTACTTGATTCTGAAGCTTGAGAGAAGTCAGGATTAGAGGTAGACAGGATCAGATTCATCAGAGTTAGAAGCAGTGTTTGTAATTAACACATTATCCAAGAGCAATGTAAAAATTAGGAGAGAGGCTCAGGAGGAAGAATAGGTGTTTTGTTTTAGTGCTCACTTTTCCAAACCTAGATTTCCTTTAGTGATAAGGTCTTCTGTAGCCTTCCTTTTTTTTTTTTTTTTTTTTTTTTTTTTTGTGAAGACAGGGAGAACTTGGGTGTTACACATGTTAGCTTGCAGTACCCGAAGCAGCTGCACAGGTGTAGAAAGTAAGATGATGACATCTTTTTTTTCCTTCCTTAGAAGAGGAACATTTCTGAAACAGCTCAGCTTCTCAGAGTGAGAACGGCACTTGCTGAGGAAGTGCTGACTTAGTCACAGATGAACTAACACAAGCAGGGCATTAGGTTCCTCACTGTTATGTCAGTTACACAT